TTTTTATGTTAGGTTGGATGTGGAACTTTTTTATAGTTTATTAAATTTGTAAGACGTTGTTTTAGATTTTTTCAATATACGCAGATAATTTGATTCACTTAGTTTAAAACAAAGAAAATTTTTGAAAACAAGATTTTAAAGAAAGTATAAAAAGTTTTTTTTTTTTTTATCAAATATGTATACCAACAAGTGGAGAAATGTGTGAAATCATTTATTCTTTCTCAAATTCTAAAGAAAAATTAAATTATACTTCACTTAAAACATGACTAATGTAAAACACTTAAATCTATGTCTATTATATCTTTTCTTTTTTATCATTTCGATGTTTTGCAAAGATACACAAAATGCAAATAGATATATGATACAATATGTATATGTATTTAACATACGAATTAAAAGTGGACTTCCGATCTTTCTAAGATCATGTATTTTGCTCAATTTTGTTTGTTTTGCTCTGAATCGTTAAACTTCTTAATCGAATTATAGCGGATTAACAAATAATTTGCCCACCCAGAGGAAAGAATCTACACATTAAAATTACAAAGCTGAATTTACTTTGCAGGAATAAAAGGTTAAAAGGCAACATGAGACCACATAATGAAGAGTATCGTATGATGTATCCCATAATTAGGTTATGAATTGAAGGATGGCTTTGTGAGGTAGTTGAGAGGAGGAGTAAATGCTCCCATTCAATCATTAATGGGTGTGAGAGATCTCATGTAAGTATTTGATCCTTTTCTCTCTAGACTACCAATAGTTATTATGGGCCTTATCTTTACCCATACGGGCCATAACCTATGGGCCCAATCCAATTTATTTTCAGATAAATTCCAAGTCCATTTTATCCATTCATCATCTTTGTCCACATATCAAGAATCAAAGAGGAATATGGGTGCCAAATCCGGTTCGTAAATCATTTTATATTTTCTGACTTTCGAACTTATGCTTTTCATTTCTAACTAATCTTTTATTATATTTCTTATGATTGAAAAAAATCGTACGTCAGCATCCTTAATATGATTGGAAACATATCACATGGTTTCAACTTCCTTGTTACTATATCCATTATCCAAAAGAACAAAAACCTTTTTATGAAAAAAAAATAGACAATCATGAAAATAAAATATATATTATTCGTTACACTCGACGGTCCAACGAAAAATTAACAACCACGTGAACCAATTTGACGAAAATTAATTGTCTACGCGTTAATCATGAACGAACCGGACATAATAACGAATCCAACGGTCAGTAATATCGTTCATACCAACACGTTAAAGCAGCTAATTATTACCCAAGTTCCGACCAAATATGCGACACGACAGCGTTTTGGAAAATCTTCTGATGCACGAGTTCGAAGAATCCTTTAATGGAGAGAGAACG